CATGGAGAAGGCTGATCCAGACAGTGGCCAAGAGTTGGACACGACTGAATGACTGACGACGAGAGTTTATGACAATCTGCTCAAACAGGAAGAGTAAACACAAAGAAGCCAGAGGCAGGCGACAAACTTGATAGAATTAAAAACCAAGAATTAAAATCAAGGCCTTTGACTTATAGATGGGCAGTGAAGTTACGACGAAGTGATAATTTTACACCTGGTAAGAAGAAGATATTTCCCTTGATGTTTCAGAAGAATTAAGTACCCTGAGGATCATGCAGATGGAAGTTGAGCCACCTGTGTCATACCAGGTCAAAGGCAGCAGCGGTTATGTTTTAGCCAATTTAGCAATAGCAATAGCACAACAGGTAGTCCTCAACTTGAAACAGTTCACTTAGTGACCATTCAAGTTACAACGGCATTGAAAAAAGGAACTTGTGACTGTTTTTCAAACTTATGACCGTTGCATCATCCTCAGGATCACGTGATCAAAATTCAAACACTTGGCCACATATTTAGGATAGTTGCAGTGTCCCAGGATCCCCTTTTGCGACTTTCTGATAAGCACAATCAATGGAGAAGCCAGATTCACTTAACAACCATGTCCCTAACTTGACAACCACAGTGATTCACATAACAACTGTTCCAAGAAAGGTCATAAAATGGAGCAACTTAACAAAGGTTTCACTCAACAACCGAAATTTGGGGCTCAATTGAGGTTGTAAGTCGAGGACTACCTGTATACCACTTCACAGTGCTTCACTACCCTCTCTAAGCGGTTTACAGAGTCAGCATATTGCCCCACAACAATCTGGGTCCTCATTTTTCCGACCTTGGAAGGATGGAAGGCTGAGTCAACCTGGAGCCAGTTTGTCCTGGCTCTGAGGAAAAAGTCAGAGAGAAGATGGTGCTGTTCAGAAATCTGACAAGGAACAGAATCCATTCGAGTTCACATGCTGTGAAACCCAATTTAGGAGGATGAAACACAAAGTAGTTCCTCCAGTCCCATAATTGTAGTTTAATTAGGCATGATTTAATAAATAAAACAGGAAAATAATCCTTGAACTGAGCTGTTTGGTTCCCTACGTTTACCTGTATTATGTACACTTGCTGTGTTATTTCTCTAGTGATGGACAAATTTCTTAAAGCTAGCCTGAAAGCTTTGTCTCTTCCACCACTTCCTAATGGTCCTTTACATCTCTTCCATCTTTTCATTAGAGTCAAATAGATGCTCACAAATTTTGGGGAAAGGTGGAAGCGACACAGTACCAGACTGGGATGTATGACAGGAGGGGTAAGATGGAGAGACCCAACTTCACAATTGCATTATTGTGTGGTAGCAACATTTTCTCACTGGGCTGACAAATTCTGCTTAATTTTTGTTTCAGAGTTTTGACTGTTGCAACATGGGACTATGACTTGACAGTGGTGTCAGATTCCAGGAAATCTATGTGTCCCAACCAACTGTACCAATAAGTTCTGCCAAAACCTAGATTTTTTTTTTTCTTCACAGCTGAAGCTTTGTGATACCACTCCACGGAGTCCATGTTTCGTCAACCATCTGTGTACTGATAAGAACTCACTGTAGGCTCCACAAGCCTTATCAACCAAATGTCTATGGCGATCATCCAGGTCATGGTTGTCCCAAAGGTGCTGTTGAAAATGTTTTGCTACCTGGCCAAGAACTGAGAAAACTGAAGAAGCTTCTTGGATTGAAACCAGAAACTTTTCTTTTGGGTTTAATGGAAAAAAAGATTTGGGGGAAAATAAATAAATAAATAAATAAATAAATAAATAAATAAATAAATAAATAAATAAATAAATAAATAAATAAATAAATAAATGAATGAATGAATGAATGAATGAATGAATGAATGAATGAATGAATGAATGAATGAATGAATGAATCATCATCATCATCATCATCATCAAGTTGGAAGGGACCTTGGAGGTCATCGAGTCCAACCCCCTGCTCAGGCAGGAACCCTACACCATTTCAAACAAATGGCTGTCCAGTCTCTTCTTAAAAACTTCCAGTGTTGGAGCATTCACCACTTCTGGAGGCAGGTTGTTCCACTGGTTAATTGTTCTAACTGTCAGGAAATTTCTCCTTAGTTCTAGGTTGCTTCTCTCCTTGATCAGTTTCCATCCGTTGCTTCTTGTCCTGCCTTCAGGCGCCTTGGAAAATAGCTTGACTCCTTCTTCTTTGTGGCAGCCCCTGAGATATTTGAATACTGTTATCATGTCCCCCCTCGTCCTTCTCTTTGTTAAACTAGACATTCCCAATTCCAGCAGCCGTTCCTTATATGTTTTAGCCTCCAGTCCCCTAATCATCTTTGTTGCTCTTCTCTGTACTCTTTCTAGAGTCTCAACATCTTTTTTACATCGTGGTGACCAAAACCTTACCAAGGCCTTGTAAAGTGGTATTAATACTTCATGTGATCTTGATTCTATCCCTCTTCGATCCTGTATATGTTGACGGCAGCAAGACTACTGTATACACAAAAATGGAAGGATATTTCAATTCCCAAAATTAACTGTTTTGATTAAAGAAAAGAATACAAGTATCTTCATTTTTACCTGGAGACCGCTTTCTGAACTTTGTGCTTGAGGTGGGAAAAAATGAAACTTCGATTCTGAGTTTCACTGATTAGATTGATTTGGTGTTACAGAAATGGCTAGTTTTTACTATTGTGAAAAAGTCAAAAGTTGAGGCTGGACGTTAATGCTTTATTCTACTGCAACAGGGGAAGTCAGAAGTCAATCTCTTTTTTTCTTCTTTTTCCTCCCTTTCCCTCCCTTTCTTCTCCCTTTTTCCTCCCCATTGTGTCCTACTATTTGCTTTGCATTTTGTATTTTACTTTACAACTTCATCAAATGTTAAAAAAAAGAAGCTTCTTGGATGAGAAGCGAAACATTTTTAAGGAAAAAAAATCAAGAAAGTCCAGTTACCTTTTGAACAATACCTTTGGGACTTAGCAACAAATATTTTCTTACAGAAACTTCCCACCAACTGAAGTGACAGAACAGCTGCTAAAGAACAGGTGACAGCATCTCACATCTCACTACTAACCATCTATTAGTAGCTACAAGTAGTCCTCAACTTATGATCAGTCACTTAGCAACTGTTTGAAATTATGACATCCCTCCACGACCCAATTTCCAACTTTGTGACTGCAGTGTCCCACAGTCGTGTGCCTGCAATTTTTGAAGCTTTTTTGTCACTTTCTGCTTTTCACTTCTGGTTTCTGGCAAAAACACCCATTGGGTATCATGGATTTGCTTAATGACTGCAGCATTTGCTTAACAACCACCACAAAAAAGGACATAAAATCAGATCTGGACACATGGTGACCTGCTTAATAACTGCAAAGACATATGAGCATAAGGCCACACTTGGAATACTGCATTCAGTTTTGGTCACCACGATGTAAAAAAGATGTTGAGACTCTAGAAATGGTACAGAGAAGAGCAACAAAGATGATCAGGGGACTGGAGGCTAAAACATATAAGGAACGGTTGCTGGAATCGGGTATGTCTAGTTTAACGAAGAGAAGGACGAGGGGGGACATGATAGCAGTGTTCCAATATCTCAGGGGCTGCCACAAAGAAGAGAGAGTCAAGCTATTCTCCAAGGTGCCTGAAGGCAGGACGAGAAGCAACGGATGGAAACTAATCAAGGAGAGAAGCAACCTAGAACTAAGGAGAAATTTCCTGACAGTTAGAACAATTAACCAGTGGAACAACCTGCCTCCAGAAGCAGTGAATGCTCCAACACTGGAAGTTTTTAAGAAGAGACTGGACAGCCATTTGTCCAAAATGGTGTAGGGTTCCTGCCTGAGCAGGGGGTTGGACTTGATGACCTCCAAGGTCCCTTCCAACTTTTTTTAATTATTATTATTATTATTATTATTATTATTATTATTATTATTATTATTATTATTATTATTATTATTATTAAATCTAGACTCGATTTTATTTGTAAGCTGAAGGCTACCTAAAATAACATTGGAGGCATCGTTTGTCATCAAGCTTGATGTTGCATTTATATCCTATGTTTTTCCTCTGAGAATTCATAACTATCTATAAGACCTCTCCTGACTTTTACCCTAAATTTAAACAACAACCCTGTGATGTAGGCTGAGTTGAGAAACAATGGCAGGGCAGAGTTATCCATTGGCTCTTGGCAGTTCAATACCTGCTGCATTCTATTAGTTCATGATGAGCTAGTAATCTGGGAAAATACAGAACTCAGAGAAACAAAGTCACATTCCCAATTTGCCTTCTCATCAATGGATGTCTTATGATTAATCACATCCCCAACATCAGCCATTGTGTAGCTAATGACGCACACAGAGAATCCATACAATATACTCATAGCATCATTTCATGACGTAGCAACCCTTCACAATGTCAGCCATTTTGCAGTGAACGTATGAGCCATTTGCTGATCAGCCCCGACCACAATGACATTACCATTCACAATACCCACAGATTAGATTATATGCTAGTCAAAACTATATTTTTTAAACATCCTTCATCTCTTTCAATCTTGTGCTAATTAGTACATATAGCCAGCCTAGGCACATGCATACAGTTTTAATAGTGAATCAGCTCCACTGGGATTAAACAGGAAGGAAGGAAGGAAGGAAGGAAGGAAGGAAGGAAGGAAGGAAGGAAGGAAGGAAGGAAGGAAGGAAGGAAGGAAGGAAGGAAGGAAGGAAGGAAGGAAGGAAGGCATAGTTCTTTCTGCAATGAACTTGATTTAAAGGACATGACCATAAATCTAGGTCAGAATGATCCTGCCCAAAGATATACTTCCAGTAATTGAATCACAGGTTGAAGTTTATAGGGGAGGGTGACCATGCAGTCACCCTCCCCTATAAACAAATATTAGCTATTGATTTGAAAGTATATATAGAATGGCAAAGCTCTGTCAGAACCTTGCTCTCTTTAGCATAGCTCCAGTTGGTGTCTTCTCTGCTTCCGCAAAACTTTCCAAAATGCGTCGTTTAATTTCCTTCTTCATTGGGATACAGATGCTTCTCTCGATGGTTGCCTCTTCCCCTTTACCCTTTGTTCACCCATCATGCAGTTCTTTGGAGGTAAAGGCTGCTGCAGAAGCGGCCGTTGACAAACTCAATGCACATCGGAAAGAAGGCTACATTCTTGGCCTCCAGCGCATTTTTGATGCCCGTGAACTACCCCAGGTAAGATCTACTCCTTTTTTCTTCTTCTTTTTTCTTTTTTCCTTCTACTCAGCACCAATCAGTCTGTTGCTCAATGGTAGCACTAATGTATCTAGGCAGGGGGGGGGGGAAATCTACAAAATCACTTGATAGCACTCAGAGGATACAAGATGCTATCTTGCTATCCTTGAGTCTACTGGTCATCCAGAATCCTGCTAGCTTAATCCTAATAAAATAAGGGTAAGGAGTGTGGGGGAAGCCACTGTTTCTCCTGCATACTAAGAGTATTAGGCAGAGTGAAGCAACTCTACTTGCTAAATGTCTACGGAGATTCTCAGTCATCCAGGTCATGACTGTCCCAAAGGTGCTTTTTCAAAAGACAACTGGACATTGTTCAGAACCGAAGAAGCTTCTTGGATGAGAAGTGAAACATTTTCAAGGAAAAACAAACTCCAGTCACCCTTTGAAAAAGCACTTTTGGACAAGTATATTTGCTGGCAGATCTTGAAAACCTCTGGCCATTTGTGTGTGGTTTTTTTTTAGGGGACAGGATAATGCCTGTCCCAGACAATCTGTTAATCTTTGGAGATCAAGTTTGATGATCAATGGATAATCACTTATTACTAGGATTAAAATAAATATTTTGCACCAAGTGCCTTCTAAATGTCTTGGCATACAGGTAGTCTTCAATTTACGACCATAATTGAGCCCAAAATTTCTGCTGCTAGGCGAGATATTTGGTAATGTCTTGGGTTTTGCCCCATTTTTATGATCTTTCTTGCCACATTTGGTAAGTCAGTCACTACAATTGTTAAGTTACCAACATGGTTGTTACGTGAACCTGGCTCCCCCATTGACTTTGCTTGTCGGAAGGTTGCAAAAAGGCGATCACTAGACCCAGAGACACTGCAACTGTCACAGAGATGAGTCAGTTGCCAAGCCTCTGAATGTTGATCACATGACCATGGAGATGCTCCAATGGTTGTGAGTGTGAAAAATGGCCATAAGTCACTTTTTTCAGTGCCGTTGTAACTTTGAGCAGTCACTAAACAAACTGTTGTAAGTCAAGGACTACCTGTACAAAGTTCCAACATGATACAGTCTTTTTCTGCCCGACTCCCAACTGCACAGGGCCAGTATATCATTTAAAGATTCTCAAAGATTCTCAAAGAAATAGAGGATTGGTGTTCTAAATTCAGAGAGGGAAACTTAAACAAAGAAGAATTAAGAGGGGGGGAGTGATTAAGGACCAGAGTGACTGTATTATGCTCTGTGTTATACTCCTCAAAGTAACAGTTTCCACAAATGCAGAGAAGGACTCTACTCATTGCAGCATTAAAATATCAGGAGATTCAACCAGTGGTCTCCAGATATTCTCTCTCTTCATCGGTGAGTAACCTGCATCGCAATCTTTGTGGCTTTTTCGCAATATAGTTAGTCCTTGACTTACATCCATTTGTGTAGCAATCATTCAAAGTTGTTACCACACTGGGGAAAAAGTAATTTACGTCATCCCCACTGTCAAGTGATCAGAGTTCAAGAGCTTGGCAACTGGCATGTATTTTACGATAGTTACAGTGTGGGGTCCTTGGTGCTCTCCGAGGTTGCTTGTTTTCTTGCAGACGTTTCAGTACCCTAACTAGGTAACATCATCACAGACTAGCACTGATGATGTTCCCTACTTAGGATGATGAAAGGCCTGCAAGAAAACAAGCCAGCTCGGAGAGCACCAAGGACCTCTCATTCCAACCCTGAGCTACCCATATTCTACTTCGTGAGTTACAGTGTCCTGTGGTCACAGGATCGCCATTTGCAGCCTTCCCAGCTGGCCACAACTGGGACCGGAATTTCCATTGCTGAGCAAGGCGGCTATTAAGTGAGCCCTGCCCAGTTTTATGACGTTTTTTCGCCGCAGTTGTCAAGCGAATCACTGAGATTGTTAAGGGAATCATGCGGTCAATCAGTGAATCTGTCTTCACTGGGGGAAAGTCAATGGGGGACTTATTGACCGTATGATTCACTTAACAACTGCAGGGATTCACTTAACAACCAGGGCAAAAAAGGCCATAAAGCTGAGCACGGCTCACTTAATAACTACCTTGCTTAGCAATGAAAATTCCGGTCCTAATTGTGGTGGTAAAACGAGGACTAACTATATAGAAAAGACATGAGTCTTGTATCACAAAGGCCACCACAACCGCGCTTCCATTACTTGGTTTCTTGACATCATGTGCAAATGGGTTGGCCTCCTAAATTTTTCTGAATGTTGATTGGAGGTTTAATGTATTTCCATGTAATGTGCTTTAAGGTGATGGACAGCCTGCCTTGACTTTTCAAGAGTTTTTCTTTGTTTGTCCCTAACAGTTTGGTAGTTCTCTTTTCTACCTCACCTTGGATATGTTAGAAACCGACTGCTATGTCCTGACTAGGAAACCATGGAAAGAATGCAAGATTAGACATCTATACGAGACAGTAAGTAACCAATCTACCTCAGTAAAAGAACTACCAACAAGGATTAGAAGGAAGTCACGTCAGACTTTTGAATAGTTTGTCCCATGGCTCTTGCACTTGGGAAAAGTTTCCTAATAACAGCATAGAAGGGATCTTAGCGGTCCAACCCCCTGCTCAAGCAGTAGACCCTTTAGTATTCTGGGCCAATGGCTGTCCAATCTCTTTTTAAAAACCTCCAGTGATAGAGCACCCACAACTTTTAGAGGCAAGAATTAATTGTTCTCACTGTCAGGAAATTCTACCTTCTTTTAGGTTGTATCTCTCTTTAGTGGTCTTTCACCCATTACTGCTTGTTCTGCCTTCAGGTATTTTGGAGAATAGGTTGACCCTTTTGTGGCAGCCTCTCAAATATTGGAAGACTGCTGTCATGTCACCTTTTCATTAAAGTAGACATACCCAATTCCTGCGGCCATTCTTCATATGTTTTAGCCTCCAGTCCCCTAATCATCTTTGTTGCTCTGCTCTGCATTCTTCTTAAGAGTCTCAACATCTGGTGTTTTTTTTTATATCGTGGTGCCCAAAACTGGATGCAATATTCCAAACGTGGTCTTACCGAAGCATTATAAAGTGGTACTAACATTGCACTAATATTCAATCTGAATCTGCCCTTCTGAAACTTAAAGCAGTTCTTCCATGTCCTGCAGCCTGGAGAAAAAGAAGCAGTTTTTGTCCTTCTTCTTCTAAGCGACCTCCTTTTTGATACTAAAGGTAGTCCTTGCCCCTTCCCCTCCAGTCCTTTGTAAACAAAATATTCACATCTACCTCATGGTCTTCATTTCAGTCTTCTGAGCGTTCTACTTGCCCTTTTCTGACTCTTTCCCATTTTGTCTGACTCCTCCTAAAGATATGATAAAATTCCCAGATAATATTCTTTGGCCCTTTAGCCCTTAAAATTTGGTCTAAGGCTGGAAGAAGATCAGGTGGAATTGAGATCATATCTGCTGGATCGATCATCTGTGCTGCACGAATGAGTTCTTCCTAACAGCTCCTAATACAGACATGTCAAACACAAGGCCCGTGGGCCAGATGCGGCCCACGAAGTGGTTTCATGTGGCCCGCAAAGCCATCCTGGAAACAGTGAGGGAACGGGCCCCCTCTGCCTTGGCCCTGGCCCAGGCCAGCCGGGAGCCAATGTACAATTTTGTGGTGGCCATCTATGCTGAAATGCATTCAGTCTTAGCTCCACAAGGCCATCTGGAAACAGCGAGGAACCGGCCCCTGCTGCGTCAGCCCCGCCCCCTGGGTGCATGCTGGGGAGATGTCACCCTTTGTGAGGAATGAAGGAATGCACCATCGCTTGGAAGTGGCCAGCAAGTGGCCTCACCTACTTCACATATCTGGCTTGATGGGCTCTGGGGGAGGGGTTTCGGCAGGCAGTGGGGCACTCTCCTCACAGCGCCGAGAAGCTGAGCTGGGTGGCGCAAATCCAAAAAGAAGTGCAACACCACCCAGCTCCCAGCCTGCCCAGTTTCGGTGTGGAAAATGTACAGCTTTTGATAATGTGTCATGGGATCATTGGTAAAAGAAATGGATGGTGCTAACACAAACTACCTTTTCTTGTTCCAGGTCTATGGTCAATGCAAAGTAGTAATTGTTTACAACAAGAATACAGATTATTCGCACCTGTTCAGTTATCACTGTGCCTTACGCCCAGGTATGTATTTTCCATGTTTGCCTGCATGTAGATTTGCAAGAAAAATCTATCCCAGCACAGACACTTCCCAAATGCAGGTTTGCAGATTTCCTCACAGAAATTTTAAAAATAGGTGCAGAAGCCCCCAAATGAAGCCTTGTTTCATTCTTCAGGGTAGCTTAGGCTACTTCTGTAGTTTCGTGCTATTTCTCAGCCACACGTGCTTTTTGGCCCAATTTCATTTCTATATATTTTTGTGACAGATTAGTGCATTTTTCAAACACTTTTTTTCTGTGGACACTTTCTGCCAGTACCTTTTTTCTTTAGTATATTTTCTACAAAACACAATTGTAACACCTACATTTCTGAGCAAATTTTTGAATTGCAAACTACATCATAAAACTAAAAAAAGAAAAGAAAAGGAAATTCAGATTCCCCCCCCCTCCCAGTCAGGTCCAAATGACATTTTCAGTCCCATTAATAGAAGGGGAGGGAGACTTTGCTGACCTCTAAACCAAGGGTCCCCAACCCCTGGTCCGTGGACCAGCACCGGGCCGCGGCATGCCAGAAACCGGTCCGCGCAAACAAGCAAAGCCCCATCCGCGGAACGCAGGCAGAACACGAAACTACGCCCCCTCCAGTCCACAAAAAAATCCTCTCTCCAAGGAACCGGTGCCTGGTGCCCAAAAGGTTGGGGAAAAACCAACAAGAGCTGTTACTTAAAACTTAAAAGAGGTATATGAAATATAACACATTGTTTCTCACTGAAGATTACTTTGCTTTCTTATGTCGTATTATAACATCGTAGAAATAACCTCGCAGGATACAGTTATGAGTGCAGAAGTTTGCAGAAGAAGCATAAGTTTTAAGAAAAGAGGTATAATTGCTTCACGCTTAGTTAGAGCAAAACGTGATGGCCGTAATTGAACATGGTATTATGGTCAAAAGTTATGGCAGTCATTAAGCGGGTCTCCATGTGCTCAGAGATGAAATAAAGTTAAAGATAAACTCCCAAACCTATTATCAGCCTTCCTTACCTTGGCCATGTCTCTGAGCACTGAACACCTTGTACTTCTGGCCACTCCAGGTAGGTTGTAGTTCTGGAATATGACAGTACTGGAGGATAACGAGTTCTTGGTAGCTTCACGTTTGATGCTTCTCAAATCTTTGGCGGTCAATGTGCGTCTTTTTTTTTCTCAACATGTTTCTTGTGACCCTGTTGACTATTTGCAACAAAATGTTTGATGGTTCTGTGATCACGCCTCAATATCTTAGCAATTTCAAGAGCGCTGCATCCCTCTGACATTTTTGACTTTCTAGAGTCAGTTAAATCTCTTTTTTGGCCCATTTTGCCTGAGGAAAAGAAGTTACCTAATAATTATGCACACCTTGATGTAGGGTATTGATCTCCTTAGGCCACACCCTCCCTCATTACACAAATAAATGTCACCTGATATGCTTATATCCACTAGGCCAGGGGTGTCAAACTGCTGGCCCGCCAGCCGGATGCGTCATGCCAAAACCGCGCCCACCCCATTGCCGGCAATGGAGAAAAAGTCACGACACGTCGCGACATGTCATGTGAAATTGCGAGTTTGACACCCCTGCACTAAGCATTCAAGTTTATACAGCTTGAAGGTGGAAAATATGCATGAAAATGAAGATATGGTCAAAATACTCACTTGTTTAATAATTGTGCACACAGTGTAGGAAGGCAATTGGTTGATAATTCAAGCTTTATCAACATGGCTGATTATGCCAGCTAGAGAGTGAATTGTGCAAACTAGAAGTTGCTGCAAACACAATTTAAATAAAAGCTATTTGGTCTTGATAGAGTCATTCAGTAGACGTTACTACACTGTCAACTTTGATTCTATCATAAAAGAAAAAGAAAACCAGATTGGCAGCCAGTTTAGTATAGTCATTAAGGCGTCAGGCTAAAAACTGGGTGACTGTGAATTCTAGTCCCACCTTGGGCACAAAGCCGGCAGTCGCTGATGATTAAGCAGAAGAGAAAAAAAAAAATCCAAATTGAGTTTGTTTGGGGGGTTTCAAATCTGATGCTGGTTGGTACAAGGAGGCTTACTTTTCAAGCTGATCCAAGCTTTCTGTATTTCAGTTCATTTCAATGTACAAGCTCAAATGCAAATGTATTGTCTCACCTTATTAAATAACACTTCTTTGCTTCTTCTGAAGTTTCTAGTTCGGATATTGTATTTCTTTGCCCTGACTGTCCAACGCCTGGAAATACTTCTGAAGCCGTTTTTCAGCAGACAGCATTGGAATCACTGGCCAAATTCAATGCTGAAAATGAACATAATCGTTATTTTGGCCTTGATAAGGTCACGAAAGCCAGTTCACAGGTAAAGTTGAAAGGGGGCATTTTTCAGCAAGAAAGTTGACGCTGTATCTTTGATTTGTATGAAGATTGCTACAAAAGACAGGGCTAAATTCAGAAATTAAAAACAATAATGGAAATAATCCCAGAAGAGGGCGATTGAATTCTGCATTATTGCCAAAGAAAGTGCATAGACAGATTCACAAAGTCTGCAGGAATCTGATGTAAATATGATTTTAATTTTTATCTGCCAGAGGGCTTCCCAGGAGCATCCAGTTTCCCACACGGATGGGACTTTGATCTATGGACAATGTGACATTCAATGTGATTACTGAATATAAATATTCTGTTATTAATAGGAACATTTGACAACATTCTACCGGTTCTCCAGGGCCTAATGCTGAGAATTATGGGAACTCTACTGGAGGGCATTAGGTTGATAAAGATTGACAGGGTACCTAAGATTAGGAGAGGCACTTCCTGAAGGCTATGTGACCCAGTCTAACTTCTTGTCTATGACTTTTTACAGTGGGTTGTTGGTCCTTCCAACTTTGTGGAATACACCATCCGTGAGACTTCCTGCCCCAAAAGTACATCTGTTTCTGACGTCACTCAGTGCCCCTTCCTCCCAGTTGAAACTGCAGTAAGTATTCATAATCTTGCATAAAACTTGAATTGACATCATGGCTCAATGCATTCTTTCTCAAGAACCAAATTTTTGACCGTTCATAGAGAATCAGGTTCCTTATTTATTTTATTTATTATTATTTTTTTCCAACAAAATTTTTATTAGTTTTATTTTACATGGTGGCAAGGCCATCAATTAATCAAAACAAAATCATATTTGTACAATTCAAATTATTTCAATATAATTAACTCAGTTATACGTATAAATAATCTATTATTATTTTAATATATCCTACTTCCCCTTAAGTCAATACTAGTAACTCTATTTCTATACTCCTCCCACCCCCATCCCCACCTAACCCCCCCGGACTTCCCAGAACTGATTACAGGATTAAACATTCATCTTCCCAAGTCTATATAAAACTACCCATTATAAACTAATCTAATATAAACGTACTTTAACTCATAAAAAGATAATCAAATATAAGCTAATATAATCTATCTAAATATAACCAATCCATCCTCCCAATCTCTTCACCATACAAGAAACTGTGCCATATCTTCAATTTATCAATTATATGTAATATATTCCATCACCCCTACAATTATATATAATATACCATCACCCCTTCAATTAATATCATAATCAAATATTTGTGATCTTTTAAAATAATAAACGTTACAAAATACTCTTAAAAAATAAGCAATAATATCCCCCAACTGCTTCCCTTGATGTGCAATACCATAATTTTCCATTTCTATAAATATTAAAATTGCATCCCAAAGTCCCAGCTAAGTCCATCACTGCCTCTTCTCTGTATCCTTGTAAATTTTCTTTAGTTGTTTCCAGTCCAATTTCCGCTTTTACAGCTATTTCTTCCACTTCTCCCTCCTTCCAGAAAGAGCAGTAATATCTCCCAACTGCTTCCCTTGAAATGCAATACCATAATTTTCCATTTCTATAAATTCTTTTAAATTGCATCCCAAAGTCACAGATAAGTCCATCACTGCCTCTTCTCTGTATCCTTGTAAATTTTCTTTAATTGTTTCCAATCACCATAATTTTCCATTTCTATAAGTATTAAAATTGCATCACAAAATCACAGCTAAGTCCATCACTACTTTTTCTCTGTATCCTTGTAGATTTTCTTTAGTTGTTTCCAGTCCAATTTCCGCTTTTACAGCTATTTCTTCCACTTCTCCCTCCTTCCAGAAAGAGCAATAATATCCCCCAACTGCTTCCCTTGAAGTGCAATCCCATAATTTTCCATTTCTATAAGTATTAAAATTGCATCCCAAAGTCTCAGCTAGGTCCATCACTGCTTTTTCTCTGTATCCTTGTAGATTTTCTTTAGTTGTTTCCAATCCAATTTCCGCTTTTACAGCTCTTTCTTCCACTTCTCCCTCCTTCCAGAAAGAGCAATAATATCCCCCCACTGCTTCCCTTGAGGTACAATACCATAATTTTCCATTTCTATAAGTATTAAAATTGCATCCCAAAGTCACAGCTGAGTCCATCACTGCCTCTTCTCTATATCCTTATAGACTGTTGAAGATCTTTAAACAAAGCGGAAATTCCATTAAGCAAAACCAATTTTCAAACTTCTTTAATCCAAGCCTCGAAGAAAAAAAAAGAGGGGGGGGGGAAATCCAAAATCCAAATCCAAAATTCTCTCCGTTAAAAGGAAAAAATAATCACCAAAACTTTCCATAAATCCAAAGAAAAAATATATCAAAGTTACAACCTTAAGCCAAGGGGTAACAATTTCCCTCTTCATTCAACACTGTAGGAAAGTGAAAGTTAAAAAAGAAAGTCACTCTCATCTATAAAAAGAAACGGCAAACCGCAGCCATTTTTTTCCCTCATTTCAACTTAACTTTAAAGAAGATGTTAATAAATTCAGTTAAGGTCTTAGGTTACTCAAGTCCAATTTCCCCTGGTCGGTTCCGTCTGGTTATTAGTTACTCACAATTTTCTATAATTCACAGAAGTGGAGGCAACGACTGGCTTTGTTCCCCAAAAAAAGGGAACAAAGGAACTTGGGAGGCGGAGATTTCCCAGACTCCGGAGGAGTACCCAATTTCGCTCTCCCGAATAAAGGGAGAGCTTTTGGGACTCTACTCCTATCCAGGAGTACTCACCTCGACCCCTTCTCCCGGGGCACAAGGTTCCAAGCCGCTGAACAGCTGCTGACCGCTGTTCATGCTGGCTCTGACGCCTTCCCAAGCGGACGGCTCCAAAAAGAGCCGCCATCGGCGCGCCGTCCCACCGGAAGCCCCAGGTTCCTTATTTATTAATGTCTGCCGGACTCAATGGCTGCATTTATACAACATGTAGACTGGCCTAAAATGGGATTGGATAGTCTGCGGGAACATAAGAGATGATCTTAGTTTGTTGTATAAATCAAGTCATCACATTATGCCATGCTATAGTTTTATTAGTTTGGCCACTGCATTGTGAAAGGCTGAATGCTTTTTCTGTCATATTAACAAGAGGTAGATTTATTGTACAAATAACACACCACTAATATGTTAAGCTATTATAAGCAAATTTATATACCATCTGTTATACTATATTTGTAAGTGACAAGGATATCATTTACAGCCCTCCACATGGTTACAAATTTCAATGTTCCACTGTGTTCCTAATCACCCATGTTTCTTAACAGTAAACCCAGTAACACAGTATATTCTCTGACTTTAGGGACTGCAAATCCTATTTCTTTACCCAGGACTAAATTTTCTTTCAAGCTACACTATATTTTTTTCTATCCACTCCTCCCAATACCCATAGGGTGCTACTGCAGGGTGCCATTGCTAGTGTTTGCTGTCTTATTCTCCTTTGTTTTTCAATCTCTCAGTCTTTCTCAGTTTGTAGGAGTGAAGGGGGAACAATTACTCACTGCTGGATGGCTGTAGCTGGTCTGCATCTTTAGAAGGCTGTTAGTCTCTACCTGTGCAGTTTTCTGCATCACTGCATTCTCCTTTAGTTCCCAACTCATCAACCTTTCTCTCTCCACCAACATTCACATCCTGCTTCTTCATAGTTTCTTTTTTTTGTTTAATCTCTCCACAATACAGTTGTGGACTCTTAAAGTCCCAAGGGACACAAAACTAGAAGAAAGGAAAACTCACACAAAAGCTCTTTGGTTTGGATATAAATTCTTAAATGAACACAGGAACTTTGTTCTGCGAACCTGAGGTTAGGATTCTGAAGGAAACTACCTTTTCTGAATGAAGAACAGCTGGGAGGCAGATGCTGAAATTAGTTATAATACAGATAGTCCTTGACTTATGGCCACAACTGACCGCAGAATTTACTCAACTGCTAAGCAAGACAATTGTTAGATGAGTTTTGACCCCTTTTATGGCCTGTCTTGTCACAGCTGTTAAGTGAACTACTGCAGTTGTTAAGTTAGTAACACAGTTGTTAAAGGAATCTGATTTTGCTTGTCAGAAGGTCACAAAATAATAATAATAATAATAATAATAATAATAATAATAATAATAATAATAATAATAATAATAATAATAATAATAATAATAATAA